ACAAGTAATAAATATATAAAACATAAGAAATGATTCTAAAACAAATAGTAAAAGACTAAAAGAAAAACAGGCATGGTACGGTGGCTCATGCCTATAATCCCAGCACTTGGGAGGCCAAAGCAGGTGGATGGCTTGAGCTCACAAGTTCAAGACCAGCCTGGGCAACATGGAGAAACCTTGTCTCCACAAAAAAATACAAGAATTAGCTGGGCACAGTGGCGCGTGCCTGTAATCCCAGCTACTAGAGAGGCTGAGGAGGAAGAATGGCTTCAATCGGAGAGGTGGAGGTTGCAGTGAGCCGAGATTGCGCCACTGCACTCCAGCCTGGATGACAGTCAGGTGAAACTCTGTTTAAAAAAAAAAAATTAGCTAGGTGTAGTAGCACACACAACTGTAGTCCTAGCTACTTGGGAGGCTGAGGTAGGAGGATGGCTTGAGCCCGTGTGGTTGAGATTGCAGTGAGCCGAGATTATGCCACTGAACTCCAGCCTGAGTGACAGAGCCAGACCTTGTTTCAAAAAATAAATAAATAAAAATAGACTAAAAAGGATGAGGTTCAGTGGACATTATTTCAAAATCTTTGACACCTTCATTTCTTTTAACACATCCTTCTATATAGAGATTGCAAGTTTTCTATGTTGTTTCAGGTTTAGCTATTAATAAGACATGTATAAAGTAATAAATGTGTGACAGACATTCATTTGAGAAAATTCGTTTAAAAATTTCAAATATATTTGTAAATGGTCAATGATATGCAAATTATGATGATACCACCTTTCAGTTTAACAAGCTTTAAAAAATATGCCTACTGTTTAGAAATGTTTACAGTATTAAAAAAACAACTTTTTTTTTTTTTTTAAGACAGAATTTAGTCTTGTTGCCCAGGCTGGAGTGCAGTGGTGTGATCTCGGCTCACTGCAATCTCTGCCTCCAGGGTTCAAGTGATTCTCTTGCTTCGGCCTCCCGAGTAGCTGGGATTAAAGGTGCCTGCCACCATGCCCGGCTAATTTTTTGTATTTTCAGTAGAGACGGGGTTTCATCATGTTGGTCAGGCTGGTCTCGAACTCCTGACTTCTGATGATCTACACACCTTGGCCTCCCAAAGTGCTGCGATTACAGGAGTGAGCCATCATGCCTGGCCAAAACAGAACTCTCATGCTGCAAGAAAAGTAACACAATTTGGTGGTAGGGAGAATTTTGTATTAACCATCACATGCTTTAAAAATATGTTGACATTTTGAATGCAAATCTACTTCTAGAAACTTTTCAAGAAAATAAGGGTGCCAAATTTAAGAGATGTTTATGAGAAACATTGTTTGTAATTGCAAACAGTGGAAACCACCCCAAATAACAAACTTTTTTTTTTTTTTGAGACAGAGTCTCGCTCTGCTACCCAGGCTGGAGTGCAGTGGCGTGATCTTGGCTCACTGCAACCTCTGCCTCCTGGGTTCAAGCGATTCTCCTGCCTCAGCCTCCGGAGCATCTGGGACTACGGGCTCATGCCACCACACTCAGCTAATTTCTGTAATTTTAGTAGACATGGGGTTTCACCATATCGGTCAGGCTGGTCTCAAACTCCTGACCTCAGGTTATCTACCCACCTCTGCCACTTTTATTTATTTGTTTGAGATGGAATTTCACTCTTGTTGCCCAGGCTGGAGTGCAGTGGCACAATCTGAGCTCACCACAACCTCTGCCTCCCAGATGCAAGCAATTCTCCCGCCTCAGTCTCCCGAGTAGCTGCGATTATAGGCGCATGCCACCACACCTGGCTAATTTTGTATTTTTGGTAGTGTTGTTCAGGTTGGTCTTGAACTCCCAACCTCAGGTGATCCACCTGCCTTGGCCTCCCAAAGTGCTGGAATTACAGGCATGAGCCACCACCCCGGCCTACTTTTAAATGATACATCAACATTAACAGAGATAGTTATATTATGGTTGGGTTCTCTACTAAATACAAAAAATTAGCCAGGCACATTGGTGCGCGCCTATAGTCCCAGCTACTCCGGAGGCTGAGGCAGGGGTATTGCTTGAACCCAGGAGGCAGAGATTGCAGTGAGCTGAGATCAAGCCACTATACTCCAGACTGGTGACAGAGCAAGAGTCTGTCTCAAAAAAAAAAAAGCAAAACAAAACAAAAAAACAGATAGTTATATTTAATATGATCTAATAATATAATGATATATTCATGCTTCCCTGAGGTCAAGAAAAAGACAAGGTTTTATAGTCTACTACTTGTATTCAGCATTGTATTAGAAAAAGAAACAAAAGGGAGTGTGTGAAGTCAAACTATTTCCATAGCAATACCAAGATTTATTGCTTTTTGCACTATGTGGCACTTGCACTAATGATGGAAATGCAAAATCACTCCCAATGGAACTAAACTGTACTAGCAGTTTTCACTAGCATTCATTTGTAAAAATAAATTCACTTATGGATATTATTCCAACACCAACTGGTATATATGGAATACAATTCTGCTGCTAATGTACTCAGATTTAGCATCAGACTCCACAGGTTTAAAGGCATGATTCTCAACAAGACTGCTATCACTTCAGATACCACCTGCACTTCTAATCAACTGGCCACAAATCTGGGAGGGTTCCCAAGGTTGGATAATTTGTTATAATGACTCATAGAACTCAGGAAAAGCTCTATACTTACATTTACAGTTTTTTTTTTGTTTTGTTTTTTTTTGTTTTTTTGAGGCGGAGTTTCACTCTTGTTACCCAGGCTGGAGTGCAATGGCGCGATCTCGGCTCACCGCAACCTCCGCCTCCTGGGTTCAGGCAATTCTCCTGCCTCAGCCTCCTGAGTAGCTGGGATTACAGGCAAGTGCCACCATGCCCAGCTAATTTTTTTGTATTTTTAGTAGAGACGGGGTTTCACCATGTTGACCAGGATGGTCTCGATCTCTTGACCTCGTGATCCACCCGCCTCGGCCTCCCAAAGTGCTGGGATTACAGGCTTGAGCCACCGCGCCCGGCCTACATTTACAGTTTTATGTTTGTTTGTTTTTTTAAACAAAGGATACAAATCAGGAACAGCTAAATGAACAGGCTCATAAGACAAGGTCTGGGAGGGTCCCAAACGCAGAAGTTCTGGGCCAGCTTTCAGTGGATGCAGTAGCATTACCGTCCTGGCATACTGATGTGTTCACCAAGAGGCTGCACTCAGCTTCAAAGTCTAGAGTGGTTTTACTTGGGTTTCATTACGTAGGCATGACTCATGCATATGACTGAACTCAGCTCCAGATCCCCACCCCTCCCAGACTTTGGGCTGGCTCAAAGACCCAAGTTTCTAATCCCATAGTTGGTCTTTCTGGTGTCTAGACCCCACTGTGAGTCATCTCATCTTAGTATAAATTCAGGTATGATCCAAGGGGCTTATGAATATAGCAAAGACACTTGGAAATTTCAAGGAATTAGAGTCTCTCTTCCAGGAACCAGGGACAAAAATCATCTTTACTACAGATGTCTTTGGTCAAACAGGAAACGTTATTAATAATTTCACGAAATTTTAGCCTTTGAAATCTTAATTTTCTGTATGACAAACTGGGTAGTATGCCTAAAGCATTTCTGTTTCATACCAAAGTACAAAGGTTATCTTACTGAAAAGCAGAAAAGTGCTTGCGCAGTTGCTGGACTATAAGCTGAACTAGCCATTTTTCATGGAATATCATTTTTTACTTGAAAGAATGACAAATTGTGACTATTAGGAGACATTTTCTTAAAAATAAATCAAGAGTCTATCACTTCAAGAAAACAGAGTATTTGTTGCTGATGAGAAAATTTGAGCTTTCAAGTGAAAATCAGAATTTTTGAAAACTTGATGCACATATTCCCAGGACCTCCTGAGGGATGTCACTGGTGGGAGGAAAAAAAAAAAAGAGAATTTTTGAAAACTTGTATAAAGTGTCAACATTTAGAAGGATCTGAATAATCCAGTAAACCAATATTTTCCAAATAACCAAGGCATAATGTTATTAAGTCATAATACAAAGGTTAAAAATCCATTCAAGGCCGGGTGCGGTGGCTCACGCCTTCCACCACTTTGGGAGGCCGAGGTGGGCGGTTCACAAGGCTAGGAGTTCAAGACCAGCCTGACCAATATGGTAAAACCCCATCTGGGCCGGGCGAGGTGGCTCACGGCTGTAATCCCAGCACTTTGGGAGGCCGAGGTGGGTGGATCACGAGGTCAGGAGATCGAGACCATCCTGGCCAACATGGTGAAACCCCGTCTCTAAACAAACAAACAAACAAACAAAAAGCCCCATCTGTACTAAAAATATAAAAATTAGCTGGGCGTGGTGGCATACGCTTATAGTCCCAGCTACTTGGGAGGCTGAGGCAAGAGAATCGTTTGAACCTGGGTGGCGGAGGTTGCAGTGAGCCAAGATCAGGCCACTGTACCCTAGCCTGGTCAACAGAGTGAGATTTCATCTTGAAAAAAAAAAATCTGTTCAAAATCAATAGATTTTAAACGAATAGACTAGACTGTACCAAATAGAGTCCCCTGTTTCTACCAAAGAAAAAAAATTAGCAGGTTATTATGGCATGCACTTGTCAAAGGCTGGGCGTGGTGGCTCACGCCTGTAATTCCAGCACTTTAAGAGGCCAACGCAGGTGGATCACCTGACGTCAGGACTTTGAGACTAGCCTGGCCAACATGGTAAAATCCTGTTTCTACTAAAAATACAAAAATTAGCTGTGTGTGGTTGGCAGGTACCTGTAATCACAGCTACTCAGGAGGCTCAGGTAGGAAAATCACTTGAACCCAGGAGGCAGATGTTGCAGTGAGCAGAGATCACACCATTGCACTCCAACCTGGGCAACAAGAGTGAAACTTGGTCTCAAAAAAAAAAAAAAAAGGAAAGAAAGTGAAGAGAAATAAAATATTTTATACATAGAATGTGAATAAAATAGATATGAGCACTAAAAAGAACACCCAAAGGTTTATTTACCTGAGGAAGAAAGAAAATAATGCCACTTACTGCTTACCAGGACTATGATGAGTTGCAAATTCTCCATTCTGAAATATGTCTCCTGCCACATTCATTCTACCAGGATTAAAAGGTCTTATTCCAGTCTTGGTCTGTGGAGTTAAAGATGGGGTGTATGTTTGTATATTAACACCAAATGTACTTGACTGAGGTCCTTTAGCGACATCTCCCAAGATGGTATTCTATAGTGATGTTTTATATGTAATCATTATGTTCATATCTTGCCCGGCATTCACAGAGCTTATACCTGTTTCTAAGGTTGTAACATTAGTAATAAGGTATTTCAGAGTCAATTCTGTAGTGATACCACAATTACCCATTCCTGCATTTACCTTATTTCTTGAAAGACTGGAAGTGGAGAAATCCAAATCTTTGGTTGTGTTTTTAGTTCTAGGAAGTCCCCATTCAATAAAACAGGAAGAATTTTTCTCCACTCCTCCATTTGTTTCCATGTCCTCTTCATCATCAATAACAATTGGCTCACTTATATTTCCTTTCTGAGATGCCAAATCTCTTGACGAAACAGAAATTACAGAATAATTTCCTTGTGGCTTTTCATGTTTTGATGACGTAAATCTAAAGTTTCTTTGATCAGCTATTGCTGGAGCAGAAACTGAAGGAGGTTGTATAGATTCAACAAATACAACGTCATCATCATCATCATCTTCCACTGGTGAGTTTCTAGATCTGCTGACTAAAGGACGAGCGGGATGACCAAATGAATCTCCTATGTCCATGAGAGTAGTTGCCATGGCTATATCTCCTAATAAAGCAGGAGTCTGTTCAGTCAATTCTAATCCTCCCACTGAACATTTATCCACGCCAATGAACCTGTAAAGAGACAGAAAAGAAAGAAAAATTCTAGTATGTTACGGTTTTTGCATTTTGCTACAATAAAATAGTACAAGTAATTGTTTTATTTATGTGATACCTGATATCCATTCTCTTTCTCCTCAACTGTTAACCAATGTTTACTTCAGAGTTTAATGGAAATTAATTATATAATCTTGGTAATCCTTTAAAAAATGTAATCAATTTATAGGACTCACTTTAGTCACTCTTTATAGTGAAAAAATCCCTGTCTTCCTTTGAATTAGAAAATAGTAACAAAATAATTATATTCAATACCAATAACTTAGGGTCCTAATATAATCACTTATATTCCATATGCGTTTATCTACTACAGTGTTTAGGATATGGCCCTATTTACCAAGGGACATTGTTTTTTTGTTTTTTCAAAATCTCTTCTTCCAAAATAACTATGTGATTATCTTTCTGCATCTTTTTTATCCTTGTACAGAAAGCAGTAAGTCCATTTATGCCAGATACTATGCTATGGGCTTTTTACAGAAAGTAAAATTCTCAAAACTGCATAATGGTAGGTATAATTTACTCTTCTATAGTTCGAGAAATTGAGGCCTAGTGAAGCTAACTAAATTGTTCCAGATAAGCCTTGGGGTAAGACTTAAACTCAGGGCTCTAACACTAGGCCTCAGATACTTTTTTTTTTTTTGAGACAGGGTCTCACTCTGTTGCCCAGGCTGGAGTGCAGTTGCATGATCCTGACTCACTGCAGCCTTAACCTCCTGGGTTCAAGCAATCCTCCCAAGTAGCTAGGACTACAGGCTCTTGCCATCACAACCCAGCTAATGTTTCATAAATTTTTTGGAGCAGGGGTCTTACTACATTGCTCAGGCTGGTCTCAAACTCCTGGCCTCAAGCAATCCTCCTGCTTCCCAAAGTACTGGGATTATAGGCACGAGCCATGGTACCTAGCCTAGCCCCAAATTCCTAACTTGTTAATACTCAACATTTTATATACTTACTATGCATTAAACTACAATGAAGGAAAGAATCTAGCAGAGAAACAATAGTTGAAAAATCTGGAAGTGAATAACTGATGGAACATGGACGGATCTTGAGCAGATGAGAGATAAGGACATGTACAGAGGTGGTAATGAAATTGATCATGTATAAGAATCACTTCTATCCCAACTGCAAGAAGGCAAATTAAGTATAATTGGAATGTACGTAAATATACAGAAACAATACATGGGACTATACATGCTGTTCTCAATTTTCAATTTTTTTTTCTTTTAGTGGAGGTGAGTGAGGTCTCACTGTGTTGCCCAGTGTGGTCTTGAACCCCTGAGCTCAAGTGATCCTCCACCTCAGCCTTTCAAAGTGCTGTGATTAAAGGAATGAGCCACCACGACAGTCCTGGCCTCAATTTTTTTTGTGTGTGTGTGACGGGGTCTTACTCTGTCACCCAGGAACAGTGGCACCATTTCAGCTCACTGCAACCTCCACCTCTCAGGCTTAAGTGATCCCTCGCCCTTAGCTTTCAATTAGCTATGTGGCAGCAGGCAAATTATGTCACCTCACTGAGTTTTAGTTTTCTAAACTATGAATGGGGATAATATATAGCTTTAAGGTTTTTAATGAGATGAGTAGACATCCAAATTCCTGGCATACTGTCTGGTCCATATCAGAGAGTGTAAAAAATATCAAATTATGGCCAGGCCCAGTGGCTCATGCCTATAATCCCAGCATTGTGGAAGGCCGAGGCAGGTAGATCACTTGAGGCCAGGGGTTTTAGACCAGCCTGGCCAACATGGCAAAACCCTAATATTTGCATTGTTGTAGAGAAGGCGTGGTGGCACGTGCCTGGAGTCCCAGGCACTCAGAAGACTGAGGCCAAGAGAATTGCTTGAACCCAGGAGGTGAAAGTTGCAGTGAGCCAAGATCATGCCACTGCACTCCAACCTGGGTGATACAATGAGACTGTCTCAAAAACAAACAAAAAATCCTTTCCAATAAAAGGTATTAAGGCAAATACTGTGCTGTATCACTACATCCTAGGATTTTAGCAACTGCCTAATTTTAAATATGTATCTAGTATTCTTGTGGTATCTTATTCACACACAAATTATAACACAAGCAAAATGCTTAAATGCAAACCATCTCTAGAGGATGGGTAATGACACTGTAAATTTAACAGGATATTTAATTAGGGGTAAAGATAAAGAGTTAACACTAAAACAAAGAAATGAATACATGCACTTTGACCTATTATATTTAGCTCTCTTCTTGTAGACTACTTTCAGAGACACTTCATAGTTGAGTACATAAGCACTCCTATTTAAAATCAGATATAAAGGTGTACCATGATTCTGAAGGTACTAACAAACGTAATGAGATCAGAAAAAGAAGAGTTAACTGAACTACCACCACAAGTAGCAAGAGAATTGTTGCAGGAACTAGGTACAAAATTACAATCTAAATTGGGCATGGTGGCTCACACCTATAATCCTAACATTCTGGGAGGCCAAGGCAGGAGGATCACTTGAGGCCAGGAATTCAAGACCAACTTGGGCAACAAAGTGAGAACTCATCTCTACAAAAAAACCAAAGGCCAGGTACGGTGGCTCATGCCTATAATCTCAGCATTTTGGGAAGTGAAGTGAGGTGGGAGGATAGCTTGAGCCCAGGAGTTCAAGAACAGCCTGGGCAAAGTAGAGAGACCCTTCTCTACAAAAAACTTAAAAATTAGCCGAGCATGGTGGCACATGCCTGCAGTTCCTGCTACTTGGGAGGCTGAGGTAGAAGGATGGCTTGAACCCAGGAGGTCAAAGCTGCAGTGAGCCATGATCATACCACTGTACTCCAGCCTGGGCAACAGAGCAAGACCCTGTCTCAAAAATTAATAAAAAATAAATAGAATAAAATAAAATACATTAGCTTGGCATGGTGGTACACACCTGTAGTCCCCAGCTACTTGGGAGGCTGAGGCAGGAGAATCACTTGAGTTCAGGAGTTCAAGGCTGCAGTGAGCTATGACCGCACCACAGCACTGAAGTCTGGGCAAAGAGTGAGACCCTGTCCCTGAAATAAAAATTAAAAAAAAAAAAAACTCTGCCTAGAAATCAGTAGCCTAGCAGGGATTAAGACAGCAAACTGGGCCAGGCGCAGTAGCTTATGCCTGTAATCCCAGTACTTTTGGAGGCCTAGGTGGGTGGATCACTTGAGTCCAGGAATTAGAGACCAGCCTGGGCAACATGGCAAAACCTTGTCTCTACAAAAAATATACAAAATTAGCCAGGCATAGTGGCACATGATTGTAGTTCCAGCTACTTGGGAAACTGAGGCAGGCTGATTGTTTGAGCCTAGGAGATAGAGGCTGCAGTGAGCCAAAATGGGCCACTGCCCTCCAGCCTGAGTGACAGAGTAAAGAGACCTTATCTCAAAAAAAAAAAAAAAAAAAAAAAAAAAAATGGCAGATTGATCACATTCCCTTCCAAAACTCCCCTAAACAGTACTACCACAAGGAAAGGAAGAACAAGAGAAGAAACAAAAGCAACATGATTTTTCATAAGCCAAAGAAGAGATGGATGAATGGTTAACTACCAACCTGAGATAGCCAGGGTCTACAACAGTGAAGAAAAGCCAAAAAAAAAATTCTGATTTATGCTGTAGGCTCAGGAATATATAGTACCAGATACCCCTGGAACAGGATGGACAGATGCTAAAAAAGGAGGTTGACAGATTTCTTCCCTCCCATCATGCTGATGGTGGTAGGCCTTTCCCCATCCTAGCATAGATTCTAAGCATTTTTTCTTTGACAAGATGGAACATAAAGATCTAAGTCTTGGGTTCACCAAGCACTGGGGAATGTTTCAACACCAAGAAATGTCCCCCTTCCTACTTGATTCCCAGAGAGCTGGCATCCAGACCTGTATTTTTCATGCAACAAACTTCTCTGGAAGCTTTCTCAGCAAGACCCTTCCCTGTGGAACTAAGAACCAGAAAAAAAGGAAAGTCCTAAAAATATTAACCCATGGGGTTCCCCATCAGTTGACCAAAAGATCATCCTATTATTAGGCTTCAAGTTGAAAGCCGCACTCTCACTCTTCCAATTTGCTTCTTAGTTCCCAATTCTTTTTTTTTTTTTGAGACGGAGTTTCGCTCTTCTTGCCCAGGGTGGAGAGCAATGGCGTGATCTCGGCTCACCACAACCTTCTCTTCCTGGTTTCAGGTGATTCTCTTACCTCAGCCTCCCAAGCAGCTGGGATTACAGGCATGCACCACCATGCCTGGCTAATTTTTTGTATTTTTAGTAGAGACAGGATTTCTCCATGGCGGTCAGGCTGGTCTCTAACTCCCGACCTCAGGTGATTCACCAGCCTTGGTCTCCTAAAGTGTCGGGGTTACAGGCGTAAGCCACCGTGCCCAGCCAGTTCCCAATTCTTTTTTTTTTTTTTGAGACGGAGTTTCACTCATGTTACCCAGGCTGGAGTGCAATGGCGCGATCTCGGCTCACCGCAACCTCCGCCTCCTGGGTTCAGGCAATTCTCCTGCCTAAGCCTCCTGAGTAGCTGGGATTACAGGCATGCGCCACCATGCCCAGCTAATTTTTTGTATTTTTAGTAGAGACGGGGTTTCACCATGTTGACCAGGATGGTCTCGATCTTTTGACCTCGTGATCCACCCGCCTCTGCCTCCCAAAGTGCTGGGATTACAGGCTTGAGCCACCGCGTCCGGCTCAGTTCCCAATTCTTAATCACGAATAAATCAGGCAAGAATTATGTAATAGATGTAACACCTACTATGTACCCATAAAAAATTTAAAATAAAACCTTCTTTTTAAAAGGAATCAAGCTATCCACCCACCTTGCACCTATAATCCCAACACTTTGGGAGGCTGGGGCGGGTGGATCACTTAGGTCAGGAGTTCAAAACCATCCTGGCAGGCGAAGGTTGCGGTGAGCCGAGATCGCACCATTGCACGCCAGCCTGGGTAACAAGAGCGAAACTCTGTCTCAAAAAAAAAAAAAAAAAAAAAAACCATCCTGGCCAACATGGTCAAATTCTATCTCTACTAAAAATACAAAGATTAGCTGAGCGTGGTGGCACACACCTGCAGTCCCAGCTATCAGGAGGCCGAGGCATGAGAATCACTTGAACGCAGGAGACAGAGGTTGCAGTGAGCCTAGATCACGTCACTGCATTCCAGCCTGGGTGACAGGGTAAGAATCTGTCTCAAAAAAAACCAAAATAAAATAAAATAAAGAATTATAGATGGAGTCTCGCTCTGTCGCCCAGGCTGGAGTGCAGTGGTTTGATCTTGGCTCACTACAACCTCTGCCTCCTGGGTTCAAGTGATTCTCCTGCCTCAGCCTCCCGAATAGCTGAGATGACAGTTGCCCGCCACCATGCCTGGCTAATTTTTGTATTTTTGGTAGAGATGGGATTTCACCATGCTGGCCAGGCTAGTCTTGAACTCCTGACCTCAGGTGATCCACCCCCTTGGACTCCCAAAGTGCTGGGATTACAGGCATGAGCCACCATGCCTAGCCATCACTTCTAATATAAAAAGAACTGCTAGAAATTAAAAGCTTAGTGGCAGAAATGAAAAATTTAGCAATAAGAGTTAAAAGATAAAGCTGAGAAAATATCAAGAAATAAAGAAAAATGAAGAGGATAAGAATTATGTCTCTCAGGTGGAGGAGGACAATTATATCTCCCCACTAACTATATGCGTGTGTGTTCCAAACATT